TCTGGCAGGGGAGCCTGAGTGAGGCAGTCCATAGGAGTCAGCCTGCGGGGCGCAGAGCAGGCCAGAGAGAAAGGGCAAAATGACCTATGAGGATAGGAAATGACACTATTTGTGTTATATTTTTAAGTGGGGAAAAAAGTTTCATAGGAATATATACAACAACTAGAGGCCCCATGCACAAAATTCATGCATTGGAGGGGGGTTGTCCCTCAGCCCAGCCTGCACCCTCTCCAATCTGGGACCCCTCGGGGGATGTCCAACTGCTGGTTTAAGCCCGATCCCCATGGACAGTTGTGGGCAATCGGGCCTAAACCAGCAGTCAGACATCCCTCTCACAATCCGGGACTGCTGGTTCCCAACCGCTCGCCTGCCTGCCTGCCTGATTGCCCCTAACCGCTTCTGCCTGCCAGCCTGATCACCCCATAACCACTCTCCTGCCGGCCTGGTCACCCCCAGCTGCCCTCCCCTGCCGGCCATCTTGTGGTAGCCATCTTGTGATGACATGGGCACAGCCATCTTGTGACCACATGGGGGCGGCCATCTATATATTAGAGTATGTGTGTGTGTTTTGGGTTTGATCCCAGGTTGGTTCCTCGGCCTGGCCTGTGCCCTCACACAATCCGGGACCCCTTCAGGGGATCTCGGAGAGCCAGTTTCGGCCCGATCTTGCTTCACTATAATGTTTAATGTGAAATGACTGAATTCTTTTATTAAAAATAGGCTATAAACAAAGTTAAAAATAAAAGAGAACCAATATTCAACATTCTCTTGCCTACTAGAGACACACTAAAAATAAGACTATTCAAGTTGTCTAAAAGTCGAGGGAGAGCTTCAGATTTATTATGACTCTGTATGCACAAGACAAGCAGATGTCATAATCCAGGTTGCAGTGATTGTTATATATGTCTGAGAACTTGAGAGATAATGACTAGGCCTGGGAAAGAGAGAGACCAAGGTAATAGTTGTCCTGTGTCCTGGTAGATAAAAGAATCTTTATGGCTACTCGAGGGGTGTGGACTCAGCTGCAGTCTTTCTGGCACCAGAGGCAAAAGCATATGGTAAAGAAGATATGCTGTAGAGCCATAGGACAAACACTTCTATATCAATGATGTGCTGTATGTTTCACCCACATGATCCCACGTATTCTGTGCAGGTGTGCAGACCTGTGAAGGAGGAAATAGAATAAACCTAAACTGACCTCAGTTGATCACATTAGGGAGACTGGGGCAATTGAATAGCTTCCAGTGTCATCTTTGTCCAAAAGAATGAGCAAGTAAGAGTATACCTTTTTTTTTCTTCCAGAAAAGGGAAATGATGGTAGAGTCTCCCTTTAAAAAGAAAAATCTTGCCCAGCTGGCATTGACCTATGAACCAGGAGGTCAAGGTTTGATTCCCAGTCAGGGCACATGCCCAGGTTGCAGTCTCGATCCACAGTGTGGGGCGTGCAGGAGTCAGCTAATCGATGATTCTCTCTCATCATTGATATTTCTCTCTTTCCCTCTCCCTTCCTCTCTGAAATTAATAAAAAATACATTTAAAAAAATAAAATCTTATGATGAAGCAGTGATTATAGCAATGTGGAACAAAAGCCACGAAAATGTTCATTCTTACCCGGATCCCTGTGGCTCAGTTGGTTGGAGCATACCCCAAAAGGTAGCAGTTTGATTCCCAGTTAAGGCACATACCCAGGTTTTGGGTTCGATCCCAGGTTGGAGCCTGTTCGGGAGGCAACTGATCCATATTTCTCTCTCATATCAATCTCTCTCTCTAAAATAAAATAAAAAGTTCACTCTCCTTCACCTGGTATTTTTTCCATATGTGAATATTCCCCAAAGAAATATCCAAAGGGGGGAAATTTACACAGATGTTTCTGGCACCTCTGGTTATAATAGTGAAAAAAAATTGGAAGCAATCCAAGTGTCTAATAGGGAAGTGACTAAACAAACAATGGGATTATTACATAGCTATTAAAAATGACAAGAGGTGAGGACTATGTCAACACAGAGAAGTGTGTATCTGCAGGAACGTTAAGTGGAAAAGAGAACACAGAGCAGTATTTAAACACTAGTGGTTAAGGATGTGTGTGTACATTATCAAAGGCCAGAGGCCAAGAAAAGAAAAGAAGATAGCTGGAGTTCAGTGTTCACTGAACTGCATAGTTCCATGAATTTATGACAATAATAGTTCAAATGTCATGCAATGTGGATATCCTGGAAGTCCCCTGCAGAATAAGAGCTCTAACTTACCCACCAGGCTGTATATTCAAAGAGATAATTTCATGCCAAATTCTCATCAAATTATTATAAAAATAGTGCCATTTCTTTAAGAGAACAAAATACCTTTCTTTAGTTTTATTCAACAAGCAATTCTGAGAGCTTAATGATGTGCTAGAGCAGTTACAGTCTCATGGAATTTACAAAAAACATGGGTGAAATCCTCAGGTGGATATGTGCTATTATCTTCATTTTTATTTATTTGAGTGCCTGTATGTATTAGGATCTATTACAAGGGAAAGTCTGGAAGACCTTTGGCCTTTGTGAATGAAACCTCACAAATTGTCTTGATTTTATACTTTTGATGTTGTCTCCAGAAGGAATCCTATGTATAGTCACTGAGATTATATTGATAAAGATGAAAAGGAAAGGTCATCATCATACTCTAAACCAGCGGTTCTCAACCTATGTGTCACGACCCCTTTGGTGGTCGAACGACCCTTTCACAGGGGTCACCTAAGACCATCCTGCATATCAGATATTTACATTATGATTCATAACAGTAGCAACATTACAGTTATGAGGTAGCAACGAAAATAATTTTATGGTTGGGTCACAACATGAGGAATGTATTTAAAGGGCCAGAAGGTTGAGAACCACTGCTCTAAACTGTGTCAGATGACCATTGTAGTGCACTATGGATTCATATTTTATAAATCCTCTGATTATCTGGTGACATTGCAAAATGTATTATGTTGTAATTAAAAGACATAAACCACACATTTTCATATCTTGTCTTAGAATTTATTTATTTTTTATTCACCGAGAGCCTCAACAAATAGACATGGCCTAGGCTTCTCTACATCTCTGAGAGGCCCTGATCATGACTTTCATTTTAACATGTGGTCATTTTAACTAGGGCCCAAAATGAATAAATACCTAACTAACAAACTGCTCTCTACTAGCCATACTGTTTCTGCTGCGTGTAACTAGTTGTCAGAAAATTCTAGAGCAGTGAGTGGTTCACAACCCTGGCTGCAGGTGCGAATCCCCCACACCTGCCCAGACACTACTCCAGATCTGCTGATTCAGACTCTCCAGGGCTGGAGTTTGGAGATCCCTGTACTTAACGAGCTCCCTCCCTCTTATCTTGCATTAGGGAAGTTGGAGAAGCAGATGGGAAGTGAAACATCAGGGTGCTCTTCTTTCTTGCCCACCGCCTCCCCACCCTTGATGAGACCTGGCTTACATTTCATTTGGAGTGTCAATGCCTATGGGGACACATTTTTCCACCCCTTGATTCAAAAGCTCAGGCAGATACTGAAGGCATCTTGACTAAGGTGATATTTACCATTTGAGGAACTATAACCAGAATATTTGCATATGGACCAATGATTCAAAAAAGTCAAGTTCAAAAGGACCATGGTTGTGAGTAGTAACAAATGGCGTTGTGTTGATAAAGACAAAGTATAGTTATAAAGGTGGCGCAGTTCACTGTGTTCCAGAAAGATAGGGCTGTTAAGATGAACTAGAGAGTTGAGATGATAATCATTTCAGGGAGAAACCAATTTGGCCTTCCTTATTTTAAGGTGCGAGTGTTAGAAGAAAGATAATACATTAGGGGTCCTGTGGTCAGAGGCTGCCAGGCTGAGCTCCAACCAGCAGAAAGCACCCGCAGATGCCGTACTCCCCGTTTCCTCCTGAATTATTCAGACAACTGCCTTCGAGTCATGCTTCACTAACCTGGAGATAGAATCCATTCATTTAACTATTGCATGGACTACAATTGCTACTTCAAATGCAAACCCAGGAAGGGATAGAGAGTTAGAAACATCGATGAGAGAGAAACATCGATCAGCTGCCTCCTGCACATCTCCTACTGGGGATGTGCCCGCAACCCAGGTACATGCCCTTGACCGGAATCGAACCTGGGACCTTTCAGTCCGCAGGCCGACGCTCTATCCACTGAGCCAAACCGGTTTCGGCTAGAATCCATTCATTTAACTATTGCATGGACTACAATTGCTATTTCAAATGCAAACCCAGGAAGCTGAATCCCTGCTGCTGTTGAGAGTATATAATTAGCTCCTTGTGCAGGCTGACCCCACAGATTTTTTCTGACGCATTTGGCCTGCAGCGTGACCTTTCTGAGACCTCCAATATCTTCCCCGCAGCTGGAGATGCCCAAAACTGCACGCAGCACTTCCTTCGGGTGTGGCCTTGTGGTTGCTTTTTTTTTTTTTTTAAGGCCTCATGCTTATTGGATCACATTTTTCAACCACTCTCAGATTCACATAGCTTTTTAAAATACAGGAGTGGACTATAAGTGGCTATCTCAAACATAACAGTTCCCGCCTTCCCCACTTTAAAAAAAATGATTTTGGAATTATGGCCTCTCAAGAAACACTATAATTGGTCAGCCTGGGGTGCGTTTGATGTCCTCCCAGATAACGTCATTAGCTATTCTCAGGAGAGGAAAGGCAGCATATTACCCTCCTGGGAGAATGACACACTCGTTTCAAGTTGGGGAAGAGCCTGCTGTTCTTTTCCTGCGTTTGGGGGAAAAGCGAACACACAATGTTCACTTCCTAAATACGGGATGTGCTGTGAGGCTGGCAGGTCATTTTCCACCATGTCATATCCTTCTGGGTGAAGGCAGCAGGGGCCAGGACAGGAAAAGGCAATGCTCAGGGTGAGGCAAGGCTTTCCCAGGGCAGCCATTGGCTCTCGGGAACTATAAAGCATGCTCATCCAGAAACAGCCTCCGATTTCTCTTCCCGGAGGTAGCCAGAGGTGAACGGTAAGTGGGGAGCCTAGAGGGACACTACCTGAAAAATTGCCATAGGACTTGTAATACTGGGCTTATATCCCTGGTCCATTATATATTTTGAGTGACTTCTTCCCACTTTGCTAAGAGTTGTCTTTACTTGGAAATTTATCACTGGTGGGTGGAATTATGGAGGCATACAAGTAAAATTAAGACCTAGGAAGAGTCAGGAGACCAAGATTCTAGACTGGGCTCTGTGAAGGACCGGCTGCATCTAGAATCTGTCTATGTTTCGATTTCCTCATCTTTCGGATGAGAAAAACGATCTCTGCCCTGATTATCTCACTGGATCGGAACGCTCCATTTCTGCGACTTATTTGCCACTTTAAAGAAGTTCCTGATAATGATGAGTACAGCGGATATGAAGGGGGGAATTTTTGGCAACTAGCAAGGATGTACTTTTACCCCAGAGTGTAGAGTTCTGTCTCTTTGTTAGTCATCTGTAATTGGCTTCAATTCAATTTGGTGCAAGGTTTGCCCTCAGTGAATTGTTAAGCAAAAAATTTGGGTTGGGTGACTATTTTATTCAACCATTATTCATTTAAAAAAATAAATGTATTGATTTCAGAGAGGAAGGGAGAATGAGAGAAATAGAAACATCAATGATGAGAGAGAATCATTGATCGACTGCCTCCTGCACTCCCCACACGGGATTGAGCCCTGGATGGGCGGAATCTAACTGTGACCTCCTGGTTGACGCTCAACCACTGAACCACACCAGCCGGGCCAACCGCTATTCATTTTTAAAAGGAAGCTTTCATAATAGAGACATAGTGGTATTAATTTAATTTAGTTTTAACTAAGCATCCACCAAAGAGTGAGACCTGATGAGCTCTACCTAGAATAGGCAGCAAAAAACACATCTGAGGCTTAATTCTAAGATAAGAGCCTGGAAGAATAACAAGCAGAACCGTTGCTCCAGGCAACCATCTAACTTAGAAAGATTAGTTTCTTACACTTGACAGATAATATGATTTTTGAGTTTTTGGTGGAGAGAGGGAGAGAGAGAGAGAGAGAGGACTGTGTTACAACTCTTATGATCCAAGTCTTCATGTAACAAAAGGATTTTGTAAGCAGGTACAACCTTCCGCTTGTGAAGTATTATCTTCCCAACAGAGCAGAGGCCCGAGCATTGAGGTGTTAGAAGGCTCCTCCTCTCCACAGGGCATTGACATCTTACATAACAAGTACTTATTGAAGTCCATCCTCAGCGTCCCCTGGGAGGAAGAGCAGAGGACAGCATTAGCCCTAGCTGCAAATGCGGACTCAAGGTCCTGAGAACTTGGGCGACCTGCCCCAGGTCACCGCACTGATCTTTGGGAACTGGACACAGTTCTGCGGAACTGAGACCCTTCAGTCCGCAGGCTGACGCTCGCTCTATCCACTGAGCCAAACCAGCTAGGGCCTAAGATGTGGGTTTTGCTGCTTATTCTAGGTAGAGCTCATCAGGTCTCACTCTTTGCGGGGGTGCTTAGTTGAAACTAAATTAAATTCAGTGACCCCTTGGCCCTTGCGTGGCAGTAGCTGCTAGGTTTAACTTTTGCCGACTGCCCCCTAGCGCGTGGAGGCCGCGATGGCGGGCCGCCGTCGCTCAGGGAGACTCTGGAATAATGCGTGTCTGTGTCCCCGCAGGGCATGGAGCGGCCGGCGGCCGGGGAGCTGCAGGGCGCCGAGGCGCTGCGGAGCTTCCAGGGGCTGCTGCTCGACCGCCGCGGCCGGCTGCACGGCCAGCTGCTGCGCCTGCGCGAGGCGGCCCGGCGCCTCCAGCGCCTGCGCAGACGCTCCCAGGTGGCCCGCGTGGCCGGCAGCTCGCTGAGCGCCGCGGGCGCCGTCACCGCGCTCGTGGGGCTCTCGCTCAGCCCGGTCACGCTGGGGGCCTCGCTCCTGGCGTCGGCCGTGGGGCTGGGGGTGGCCACCGCCGGAGGGGCCGTCACCATCACGTCCGACCTCTCCCTGATCTTCTGCCACTCGCGGGAGGTGCGCCGGGTGCAGGAGATCGCGGCCGCCTGCCAGGACCAGATGCGCGAGCTGCTGGGCTGCCTCGACTTCTTCTGCCGCTGGCAGGGCCGCGGGGACCGCCAGCTGCTGCAGAGCGGGAGGAACGCCTCCATGGCCCTGTACAACGCCGTCTACTTCATCGTCTTCTTCGGCTCGCGCGGCTTCCTCCTCCCCCGGCGGGCCGAGGGGGCCACCAGGGTGAGCCAGGCCGTGCTGAAGGCCAAGATTCAGAAGCTGGCGGAGAGCCTGGAGTCCTGCACGGGGGCTCTGGACGAACTCAGTGAGCAGCTGGAGTCCCGAGTCCAGCTCCGCACCAAGTCCAGACGTGGCCACGACCTCAAGATCGCTGCCGACCAGCCCTCGGCGCTGTTTTTCAGAGAACATCCTTTCTCCTAAGGACCGAGGCCAGAAAGCACCCCTGTGGGATGCTCTGGAATTTTAGCTCCCTCGGGAAACGCCCAGCTGCGTGAGGAGCTGAGTGCAAAGGATAAGAAACTGTGCTGGAGGGGAAGGGTCCTCGCAGCCCTTCTTTTCCTGTCACCGTGACATTCTGCTGAGGACTGTCTTATTTTCTGATCCTCCTGGAATAGGTGACCTGAAAACTGTTTTTCCTTGATCAGAACCGTCCAGTCTTTACATTACTGGGCACTCGGGTTTTAAGTTGTTGGGTGGTCCCTGCCCCTGCCCAGGTGGTTTGAGCTGAGGCTGGAGAGGGTGCAGACATGGCCATCCTTTGGGTCCTCTCTAAGCTCTGCTTGGCTTGGAGGCTCTCAGATGGCCTTAGTGGGGAGACACAAGCTTAAAGCCTCTCTTCCAGTCTCTGAGTACAAAGACCTCCAGAATCCAGAGCAAAGTGACCCCCTCTGAACAGTGTAGGAGGGTTCAGGATCCAAGAGAGGCCAAGGAAGATGAAGTGACTTACAGCTTCATGTACTGACTTCCTGGTGTACAGAAAGAGCAATGGCTTTGAGTTAGATAGTCCTGGGTTTCTTACGTACCCTGTCACTACTGTGTGATCTTGGCCACTTAGTCTCTCTGAGACGTGGCTTCCTGGTCAGTCAAAGAGAGATGCCAAACCCTTACTCTGTTGTGAGTCGTATGTGCGATACAGTGCCTAGCACAATGTCTGGCTCATTAAGAGTAGCCCCTGGATTGGCAGTATCAGCATCACCGGGGAATTTGTTAGAAAGGCAAATTCTTGGACTCAGCCGCTGACTTGTGGAGTTGGAAACTCTGGAGGTGCATTTAAACAAGCCCCTGGGTGATTCTGATGCCTACTAAAGTTTGAAAAACACTGCAACAGATGTTCGTTTCTGATCCCCTCAATGAGCTTTCACGCAATCTCAGGGCCTCTCTAGGAGCTTCATGGTCTTCAAACTGAAGATCAAGGACAGACTGTCCCAGAAGTAAAAGATGTGTGTGCATTGATCAATGCATCTTGGGGCACCTTGCCATCATGTTAGCTAAGGGCTGTAACATAAGAAGCCCTTTAGAGGGCAGTGTTGCCCACTCATTGTAGAAACTGGTACAGAAAGGAATGTGAATTTATTGGAAATTGGTCTTCATTACCTTCTCTGAAAACTGCTAGACCATGTATTTTTTTATTTATTTTAAGTTTTTTTATTTATTTACTTTTTATTATTTGCATTTAATTTTATTTAATCATGACATTTAGGAAATAATAGGAATAGCAAGTGATTGAATGGGAGACTACTGAGGCTCTTTTCACGAGATGAGGTTGAGTTTGACTTTCTGAGGCCGGTCGTGCGTTCTCCTTGAATAAGTCTTCCCACGTGAAGTAAATGTGGGAAGTTCTGAATAGAAAGACCCAGAGCTGAGTTTAAGCTTATAAATGGAGGCTTGACTTGCAGGATGTGGAAATGATGTAGGCATATTTAACCCGAAGGTACTTTGCCAGCAGATAACACTTGACCTGAAAGGAGAATCTGTTTAGCCCTGGGTTCTGAACTACTTTTCAGGGGAAAGCAAGACAATTAAAGGCATGTGAAGGAAGCACTTAGACCTCGGGAGCCTGATGTCCTGTAACATTGTCTTATGGGTTATAAACAAAATAGCTTGTGTGATGGTGGCGATGTGTCATATTTTCACATTGGGGGCTGTAAAAAGTCTGTAAGCTGTCTCTAAGAAAGAAAATATAATTTCACTTTCCATTCCTACAACTGTAATGTTGAAAAATAGGTTGAAAAGTCTTTGAGGCTACATACACAAAAACTTGGCTGTATGATTAATGATTTAGCAGGCTTCAAATTGGTTCCGTTTTCTCCCAGGCTTCCCAATGATGGCCGTGTGTCTGAGGAAGTACAATGTCAGTGCTGGGGTGAGGTGGTTGGTGGTTCTAAATTTAATTTTACCTATAAATTTCAATCTATGTGTATCCTGGTTTGTTTTCAAGTTGGTACTGGTTTCTTTTTAAACTGGTGTCATTTCCTAGACTACCCTGCACAGATGCTAGCATTTTAGGTCACCAGAATGTACTTCATGTTGTCATTTTGTGCTGTGTCATAAAGGTACAACCACTCCCTAACTCCATCTTCTATTAATGCTTAAGTTTGAATTATATTCTTCTAGTGCCTAAGCTGTTCCCTAGAAATATATGGGGCACTTTTGGCAGCAGCAGCAAACATTTCCTATCATTAGGGTATTTTGACTATATCAAAGTCCTAGGCCCACTTTACATCTAAGGAAGAGTGTCTACTTTGGAACAACACTTTGAATAATAATTATTCAAATGCATTTGAATGATTTAATGAAATGCTTAGCTATTTTAATAGGAATTTATCGATAATGAAAGACTATCCATCCTCTACATGCCTGTTATAAAGACTGGAGCCTCTATCAGGATTTAGTCAAGTTCAGTTCAATGGATCCTAGAGACAAATATTTATTTCTTTTGTGGGAATGTGAATAAGGCTTTTCCTTATTGCCTACATGCTACAAACAAGCAGATTGTAATGGTATGTTGCAACAAGAAGGAGGGAAAGGAGTATTTAGATCACAAGCATACTCCAGAAAAATGTTCCGAGTTTGAAAAATAAACGTGTTTGTACTAAAGGCTTATTAAGTGCTTCTGGTATTTTCTGTGGTTTACAATCATTTGAATGGTTCTCTTTCACAATAAAGGGGATTCAACAAAACTACATTCTGCTCTATTGAAAAACAATCCTTCGCAAACATGCTGATCCTAATTGCTTTGATGCGTTTGCCCTAAGGCATCTGTCATTTCCAATATGGCAAATGTCAAAGTCAAAAGTGTGTACTGGGAGAAAAAAAGAGAGAGAGAGAGAGAGAGAGAGAGAGAGGGGTGTAGAAGCCACTTTAAATCAGATATGTCAAACCATCAGTTAACTTGATATAGTTCTCATTCAATGCCTTGGTGTGAAAAGAAAGAGGGAATTGAGACATGGAGATAAAGACACTACAGAGATAAAGAGGGGCTCAGTTAAATGCAGCAATTTTTGAATTCCGTGGTTTTTCCCCCCACTGTAGCAAAATTAGTTCTTTCCCCAATTGAAATAAACTGTCCATTCCTCAAATGTTTTGATATCTGTAATTAATCACCTAATCTCATGTTTGCCTGTGTACGAATTAATAACTGAAAAGGGCAGATATTTAATCACTTTCATTTAGAATATTCAGTATCAAGCCATGTAAATCAATTTTTAAAAAGCAGTTAACTCATGTACAGGAATATACTTATTACCTAGAAATCAGACTTCCAGCAGTTTTTCCCAGGAGGCAAAATTTCCCCACAAATCTCCGGAGAATTTCACCTTGCAAATCACTGATCTTGACCGTGCAAGGGAAATGTAATAATTTTTAGCTAAAAACTGGTGGATCCCAATATACCTATATCCTGTTAGGAAGGTGGACATAGGATAGGGGGTCCAGCAATCCAATCAGAGAGCCTGCAGTGGTTGCTAGAGTCAGTCAAGAGCTCCTGTGTGGAGGTGGTCTCCCTATCTGAGTGCCAGCCAGCCCGAGTCTCCCCACCTTGGAAACATGCCTGGGTCCAGATGCTGTACTGTTAGTGGGTGTGCAACCAAAAAAAAAAAAAAAAAAAAGCTGTGTTGGCAAGACCCTGACTATTTGCAAAGCCAGCCACATGCTGGGATCCTGTTTGTGCTGTAGCAATGTGTTCCTGTCTTAACAAGTGTCCATTTAGTTAATTGCAATAAATCTCTCCTTGTTGAGTTGACATAGGTGGGGATGTTAACTTTTTGCTCCAGGCAAACCCTGGGGAATTCTGCTGTGGTCTGGAATAAGACAAAGAGTGATGTCAGATCTTAGATTTTACTGTTTGTTTTCTGTCTCTTCACAATTTTTGCTACATTCTTTAGGTTCCATATGGTAGGCCTTGGCAGCTTCAGGCTCATCAGCATACCAAATCTAGCATGAGAGAGAGGAGAAGCACACCTAACCGATAGTTCAAACACAAGTCCCAGAATTAAGTGTTGCTGGCCTTGATTAGCCTCACTAGGACACTGTGCACACTGTTGAACCAATCATTGTAATAGAGGATGGGAGACATGCCCCAGTTGGCTTATTCTAGGTCATGTGCTCCACCCCTGGATCCCAGGAGGGATGGGGGATCTGAAGTAGTGGGCTGGTTTTACAGTTGTCCTACCTGTATATCACACTCTTTCCTAGGGCGATGTCTTCTAAGAGTATCATTTGAGAGCGTGGGGTGTTTATTGGACTCCTTTCTTCTTGGCGGATGTTGAACTCACCAGACCTTGCTCCTTCAGATTACCACTTGTTCCAAGTGATGGCACATGCACTTTCTGAGCAGCACTTTAAAACGTATGAAGAAGTGGAAAATTGGGTCTCTGAATGGTTTGCCTCAAAACAAGAAAAGTTCTATTGGGACGGTATCCACAAATTACCTGAAAGATGGGGGAAATGTGTAGCTAGCGATGGACATTACTTTGAATAAAGCATTTTTGATGTTTCTCTTGAAATTATCGTGTTTTCTTTGGATTACAAAATCCGCAATATTAACCAGTAACGGCCAATCCGCACTATTAACCAGTTAATGGCCAATCTGCATTATTAACCAGTTAATAATTAATCCACAATTTGAAAGAATCTGTGATCACTTATTTTTTTAAATATATTTTTATTTTATTTTTTAAGGTTTTATATTTTTCCTTTATTGATTAAGGTATTACATTTGTGTCCTTATCGCCCCATTGCCCCCCTCACCCCCTTGTTGTCTGTGTCCGTTGGTTAGGCTTATATACATGCATACAAGTCCTTTGGTTGATCTCTCCCCCTTACCCCCACCCTCCCCCCCCTTCCCTCTGAGGTTTGACAGTCTGATTGATGCTTCTCTGTCTCTGGATCTGTTTATATTCATCAGTTTATGTTGTTCATTATATTCCACAAATGAATGAGATCATGTGATATTTATCTTTCTCTGACTGGCTTATTTCACTTAGCACAATGCTCTGTGATCATTTATTTTAAAATATATATTTTTTTATTTCAGAGAAGAAGGGAGAGGGAGAGAGAGATAGAAACATCAATGATGAGAATCATTGATCCCTGCCTCCTGCACACCCCCTACTGGAGATCGAGCCTGCAACCCCAGGCATGTGCCCTTGCTGGGATCGAACCCCTGACCCTTCAGTCCGCAGGCTGACGCTCTATCCACTGAGCCAAACCGGCCAGGGCTGTGATCACTTATTATCTGTCTTCTCCACGAGGGTAGAGGACGCTGCCCTTGTCAATAAGCATATATTGTCACTAAGCATAAAACATAGCCCTAGCATATGGTAGGCACTCAACAAATGTTTTAATAAATAAATGAAATAATAATTATAATAAATAGTACTGTGATATCAACCTGTTTAAAACTCTATGGTTAGAAAAGTAAGGAGCATAATGGGCGGGGATCTGAAGGGCATATCGGAGGCCCTGGTCATGGGCCCCTTCTGTACTCGGTTCAGTTGCAAAAGTCCACACTCATATCCATTCCTAACTTTCCCACTAGGTTTCCGCGAAGCCACACCCCTCTGGTCTGTTGGTGCAAAACCCGGCATGGCCGCAGGGGGGCGCCCACAACACGCGGTCGGGAGAACTACAACTACATTACCCAGCATCCCGCGCGCCGCCGCCCCACTTCCGGAGCCGCTTGACAGCATGGCGGCGCCCGAGGATGCCGGTTCCCCTACAGAAGCGCCGCAGCCGGCCGTGGAGGAGGAGGAAACGAAAACATTTAAAGACCTGGTGAGGGCAGTTTCTCTCTGTACTGCCGGCGCCAGGCGCAGGCAGAGACCCGTGGCCTTAGATCCCGGCTGGCGGTGGACACAAGCCGCTGGGGCCTAGCTGAGGCGTCCCCCCGAGTTCCCGAAGCTCGGGTTCCGGGCGCGCTCCCTGACCCGCTGAGCTTGGTCGTCGGGGGCGCGGGTGGCTGCCGGCCGGGCTGTGAGAGCCCCGCTGGCGCCTTTCTCCGTGTTGATGTGGCGACGTGTGGGCTTTGGAGTCAGGTGAGCCAGGTTCGGATTCTGGCCCAGCCTCTCCCCAGAGCGGGTTGCTACGCTTCTGTGCCTCCTCGACGTCTGTGAGTTGGGGAAGAGCCTCATGGCATCATGAGGGTTAAATGAATAATACGTGTCAGGAACCTGGCTTTGCCCCTGGCGAGCGGTAGCACTTACAGAAGGAGCGGGACGAGCGGACGCAGGGCGGGTGCCCTTGGGATCGAGTGTGAGGGATGCGCGCACGTGCCGCCGGCCCGCCCGGGGCTCCGACAGCCACTTAATGAGGGGCGGGGAGTGTGTGCTGATGTCTGTGTTTTGTTTTTATTCCAAGGGTGTGACCGATGTGCTGTGTGAAGCTTGCGACCAGCTGGGATGGACGAAGCCCACCAAAATCCAGGTGGAAGCTATTCCTTTGGCCTTACAAGGTAGGTTGACGGTAAACAGGTGGCCGGGGACAGTCAGTGTGAACTTAGAGTATCAGAGAACTGCTCCTTGCTGCTTCAAGTGAAATAAAAATATGCTCACTGACCACACACAGTTTTGGTGGCGTGTTGGTTTCTGTAAAAGTTCTTCTCCACTTTTACTTTCTTTTTCTTATAATATGATTTGTGAATCACTTATTCTGTGAAACTACATATTGTCACCTGTTACATTTTTCTGTTGAGAGAGAGAGAGAGAGAGAGAGAGAGAGAGCGCGCGGGAGGGAGGGAGAGGGAGAGAGAAACATCGACGGGGATCGAACCTACAGCGTGGGTATGTGCCCCGACGGGAATTGAACCCACAACCCTGCGGTGCCCTGGATGACAGTCCAGCCGCCTGAGCCATCCTGGCCAGGGCTGAGCTGACTTTGTATCAGGAGCTTTAGTGTCTGCAGCGGATGCTGACCCAAGGAAGCACTGGATTAAAATGTACTAACACGAGACTTGTTAGAAATCATGACTCGCTTCTCTGCCTTTTGGCTAAGATCAAGTGCAATATCTGTTCTTAGTTTAATATCTGATGGGCCTCTCTCCGAGGACATTATATGAAATGTATTTTTGGAATAGAGAGATGGAATCGGAGCTTGCTCCGTCCACTCCACGCATCGACTGGTATTGCAGTACCTCCGGGAACGGTGCACCAAACAAAACAAAACAAAAATAACAGAAAAAGAAATGAATAATAAGTGCAGATTTATACAAGGGTCCCTGGAACCTTTGTTAGTATCTGGGGGTGTTGAGAGCTCTTGCTGTAAGACAAGGGTATCAGATTTGCAGAAGAGTGGCTGATGACTAGTGGGCCTGGAGCTAACTGGGTGAACTTTAATAAGAGGAGAAGTGAAATCCTGTTCCTACATTCCCAAAACTCAACTTTAGAGGACTAGGGTGGGTGGAGAAAGACCCAGAAGTGTTAACTGAAATTCATTAAGATCCTCAGAGAAAGTGAGGTACATTACCGTAGGAGAAGGGGGACATTCTTGGGGTTTCTTGCCCCTTTGAGAATCAAATAAAAATTAAAGAGTTTCTCCCCAGAAAAAACACATAAATCTATCCACACATAAAATTTATCCCTTGCTCTGACTTTATTCCTCTCGCACAA